CTCCATGAAAATGTTGGCAACAACTGGGGAGATAGGAGATTCCATGGCGATACCTCCGGTTTGTTGGTACAAAGTATTATTATACACAAAATATGTGGATTTCAAACACTGAAGTGGCTTTAATAATGTCGTTGGCTGTTAGGGCAGTATCTTGACTCAACAAATGATCATTTAAAAGTAGGGTATGTAAGACAGAAAGACATTCATCTATTGGAATTTGAGTAGACAAAGATACAATGTCATAGTTAGCCAGGCATTCGGTGTCTTGCATGCAAATGTCCTTAAGTTTATGTACAAAATGTGTAGAGTCTTTGATGAAATGTTCGTTGAGAGATTGTAAGGGTTTTAAAATCTGGGATATGTACTTTGCTAATGCATAGTTAGGAGTCCCAATGTAATCAACAATAGGTCCTCATGGTATGCCAGGTTTGTGGATTTTGGCAAAACAAAAGCAGTTAAATGGATTTGATCAATTTTAAATCGGAAATTTCTTGTTCGAAAGTCGCCAAAAGATCTCTATCGATAAGGTGACATCCCTTTCCCCGTGGATAGATTTGTAGGTCATTCTGCTCATTGCAGTTAACATGGGATTATTGGATCTGAATAAGCACTCAATTACGGTCGAATGATGTACACAACAACCGGATATCACAGACAAATAGCTCATACATTCATTCTGGACAAAGATATTGACAGGCAGACGTGGCCGTCATGGCCAATTTGCTGGGATCTTCTTTTGCGGATGTTTTGTTTGGCACTCTAGAAGAGAAACCATAAGAAGAGATTTGATAAATACATTTATACCATATGGGAATTCCACCATGTACAGATCAACTGATTCCAGGGAGCCCTGGACAGCTGTTTTTACCCGGTTGGGTCTAACCGGCAGTGTGAATCGATTGACCTAATTGGGGATCGACCTCAGGGCCTCACAAGCAGAGCGCTACCCACTCAGCCACCAGGTTGCTGATCAGACACACAATATAGCACAACCCATTTCAGCGTGCTAGTTCAGGCATCACACCTCGTACCTCTCAATACTAGCCTTCAAGGTTACAACTCGATTGGAACCTCTCCGAACCTGCTCACCCTATGCATACGAGAGATTAGTGGAGGATTCTATACTCAAGATATGATACCTGAACTCAGCTGGCAAAATAGATCGTTCCATGTCGGGTAAGGAAAAAGTAAAAATCCATCTGATCGGCTACCCGGTGGTTAAATGAGTAGTATACCTGCGTTCTGCCTGTGGGGTCCCAGGTTCGGCCCTCGATTGGGTCGATTTATTCGCACTGCAAATGAAACCTAAAGAGGTCTAAAAAAGTCTGTCCAGTGCATCCTTGCTATGTACGCAAAGAAATTCACCAGATCATCAAAGTGAGTTTTCGACGACTCTAAGGGTAATGTGTACTTCATCTACATCAGTACCTTCGTTACGATCAACAATAACAAATTCGGAGAAAAGTTATCCGATTGGATGGAAGAACTCAACTCAAATGTCAACAATTCCTCACCAACCGAATAAATCGATTCAAAACTCCGTCTTCCGGAAGAAGACCGCTTGGCATGGAAAATAGTTTTATTTCACGAATTTGGTTTATAGGCAATTAGCGATTGGTCTGTGAATATCTATTTACACGTTGCTGTTCATAGTGTCATTTTCACTTTTCGACAGCCAACGATGGTATTTCTGAGCAGTTCCTGGTAACGGATTAACGTGTCTTGACGAACGCAAGAGAATAGAGCTTCCATGTATGAATTTCGAAGTTTCGGTTGAATGGGTTTACCAATGCTGATCGATTAACCCGATTTTTTCTCGCATCGAAAATTTCACGAAAACAATCCATTGATTCTATTAGTTAACGTCATCATCTTTCTCGGTGTATTTTTTGTTCTATTTGGTGGTTATCTTCCGGTGTCATCAACCCATTCGATACAGAAAGAAACAAACAAACTGAAAGAAAGCTAAGACAGAAATGCGCAAATACAGTGCACTGATGTTCGAGCAATCATCCACCTATGGTTTCCAATCGTGGATCAGGCTGATTTCAAGGTCATCAACTGGCCAACCCAAATAGTCCTTAATTGTTCAGTCCTGAATCTTCAGTAATAGTCTGATCACCCTCGACGTTCTTTCAACTACTGCCTTTTCCGGCAAAAACTAGCACACCTCTACCCTTATGCGTTCTACCCCTTACAAACAATAAACATGAATGAATAATTGAACTTTCTTTAATTTAGATGATGAATTCGTCGTGTAAATGAGGCGTGAGCTGAAATGTTGGAAAGCACCGGACAGCTGTTTCGACCTGGTTGGATCTCATCCGCAGTGTGAATCCATCGACTCAACTGGGGATCGAACCCGGGAACTCATGGGCAGAATGCAAGCATGCTACCCACTCGGCCACCGGGCAACTGGTCAGGCCCTTTTCTCATTTTGAATTCACACGATATAGCATAACCCAGCTTTTGAGCTCACGCCTCATTTACACAGCGAATGCATCATGTGAACAAATCAAATCCTCCATTACTCTCATACAACAAAATAATCAGGTTGTGAAAGTTTCCAACCGAGTCATAACTCTGGAGGTCAGTGCTGAGGTGAGCGAGGACCGATACTCTCAACAAGCTCATATTATTGGGTTGTGCTGTATCGTGTAAATTCAAAATGAGAAA